AACCTGTTCAGCCTGCACAAGAGAAGGCTGAGGGGGGATCTAGTTGCCGTTTACAAACTAGTCAGAGGGGACCAGCAGGCATTGGGGGAGTCCCTGTTCCCCCGAGCACTCCCAGGAGTGACTAGAAATAATGGTCACAAGCTGGCAGAGGGTAGATGTAGACTAGACATCAGGAGGCGCTGCTTCACTGTCAGGGTGGCTAGGATCTGGAACCAACTTCCAAGCGAAGTGGAGCTGGCTCCTACCCTGGGGGTCTTCAAGAGGACGTTAGACAAACACCTTGCCGGGGTCATTTGACCCCAGTACTTTTTCCTGCCATGGCAGGGGGTCGGACTTGATGATCTGCTCAGGTCCCTTCTGCCCCTACCAACTATGAAACTATGAAACATGTTACAATTGTATCCTGTTTGTGTGTTTGTGAAGTTTCCAAACTGGTCTTGGAATCAAATGGGATGGATATTAATTGAATGAGGTACCTTTAGGAAATGAATCACAGAATACTATTTTTCAGTAGTTATTTTAACAATGGAGCCTAATAAATAGCTGCATCAAATGGCTTATGGAGATTGTGAAGATCAGAGACCATTGGAAACAGTAGGTGTGAGTTTCAGGAAAATACATACTGGTTTAGCATAATAAACATTTAGAAATGGGCTGCCTATTTTTGAGAAATATGCCCTAATTAATTAATGTAAATGTGAGGCAGTAAGGATCAGACAATAGGTGTGAGGTAGGTTAGATGCAGTCACATAGACTTATTTAGCATAAAACTTTAAACAGATATTGGATGTTTGCTTTGGGAAATAGGTCTCAATCAAAAAGGGAATGTGTTAACCAGGATATATTTACAGTCATGTTTTCAATGCACCCTTGGCTTTTCTCCTTGCTTACAGCCTTTGCTTTGAAGTGGATATTTTAGTTCTTTTGTTTTGTTTAGTGACACTTAGCTCAATTGAGATGTAGATGTAGTTTGTAGGTTTCTCCCCAGGACGCTTGGCTTTCTAGCTTGCTCTCTGAGTCTTGCTATGTACATGTCATGAGTGTGTCAGGTCTCTGCTATTACTTTTAACCACCACTTATTTTTTTTTAGGCTCAGGTGTGGTAGAAGGTTGAGGACTGTTATTATGACTGCTATTAGCTTATGGCCTGGTTCTGGTATTTGGTACCACAAGCATTCTACTTTCTCTTACACTTAATGGGTTGCAAGCCATTAGTGAAGTTTGATTTTCTTTGAGGCAGGCTTGTTACCAAAACCCAGACTTGCCCCAGCCACTGTCTTGTATTTTTGTGCAATAGACACTGTTCCAAGCTTTCATAGCTTTCATAGTCAGCACATGTCATGGACTGAATCAGGAATTCAGAGTCATCCACCCTGCAGTGATGTATGTGCCCAAGTTGCAGCAGAACCTGTCAATCCCAGATTAACCTTCTCAACCATATCTGGTAACACAGATAAGACAATCATGGAAGCAAGGAATTGATGATGATGACGATACTACGATCATCAGACATGCCCACAGCTGCAGAAAAACAATTCACCTGAAGCTTCACTGACTACTGCCATAAAAATGGCAAATCTCTCAGAGATGGCAGTTGCATCAAGCCTATTGTATTTTAATTTAGTCAGTCCATATTGAGTTGCTTCTATTGAGAAGCATCACAGCATTATACAATGAAATCAAAATCCAGACCATTATGGAAGCACTAAACTGCCAAACCAGCCAAATAAATGAAGTAAATCTCTCGTGTGGCAGTTCACAGAAACCTCACCCAGAGAGAAGCCAGATTCCAATTGCTACAAAGAACATGGGTATAAAGAGAGGAACACATTCAAAAACAAGCAAAAGAAACAAAAAATGGTCAAGAAAAAGCCAGTGGAACTACCCAGGTCAGCACTGTGCCATACACCATTACAGGCATTTTTTTCAGGCATCAGAGTCCTCCAAAACCAAAGACCCAATGCTAAGGAAGATCTTCCCTAAATACAGCCTTTTCCAAATCTCAGGAGTGAGCACACAGTTTTGGTCAACAGGCCAAGAGCTTTTTTTAGGTCCCTTCTGGGGCAGGATGGCATAATCCTGTTGATCAAAGTCAGTCCCCTGTGCACTAGTCTGAACATTAAATGCACCTCTGACAATGGCACAAGAATCTATGTGACACCTACCATGTATTGTGGGTGACACCAGTCAGGGATTTAGGCAGGTTCCTTGTGGTAAGCCTGGACTGTCACCACCCAAGAATCACAGACTTTCAGTTGCTCCCTTCACTGCTTAGCCCAGCTCAGTCCCCACTGTTTAGCCTAGATCAGTCCCCACTTATGGCCTTTGTCTCAATGGGTCATGCTCACAGCTGGAGGTCAGAGAAGGAACAGTGAGGAAGTTGCAAATGGGATAGTGGTCTGAGGGAGCCAACAGCTCTCGGTGAGAGGCAATCAGGGGAATAGAGTTGCCAGCTCACTTGGTTTCATTATTAATCTCACCATATTTGGTGTTTTCTGCATTTCTTATGATACCATGATTGCTAGCATCAAAGTCATGAATTCTGCCCTCATCCCAAATGGTTGTCATCTCCCATTACATTCAATGGCACTGAACTCTATCAAGATACAAACTACAGCCTCTGCATGTGAAAAGGAGCCTACAAAAGAAAAGAAGCCCAGCTGCCTTCAGGAAAGCAGGATGCCCCTCCCCTTGCTTTCAGGCTAGGCTAGGAAGTGAACTGGGGATGATATGGTAGGGGACCTACAGATCGGTGGTCATCTGGGGGACAGCGATCACCAAAAAATAAAATTCTTCATAAAACGTCAAGTGGGTAAGGTAACTAGTAGGGTAAAAGTGCTAGACTTTAGGAAAGCTGATTTCAATGAACTCAGGCGATTAGTCAAGGACGCCCTGCAGAGTAGGAGTTTTGAAGAGATGGGAGCCCAGGAAGGGTGGCTGTGCCTTAAGGAAATGATCCTTCGGGCACAGAGGGAGACAATCCCGATGCAAGGAAAAAGAAGGAAAGGGGCCAGGAGGGGCCAGGAGGCTTCTTTGGCTGACCAGAGAAATCCAGGGCAGCCTACAGGCCAAAAGGGGGGCACATAAAAAGTGGAAACAGGGAGAGTTTACCAAAGAGGAGTATACCTCCTCCGCTCGCGCTTGTAGGGAGACAGTTAGATGGGCCAAAGCTACCATGGAGCTGAGGATGGCATCCCAAGTAAACGATAACAAAAAATTGTTTTTTAGATATATAGGGAGTAAAGGAAGGCCCAGGGAGGAATAGGACCCCTGCTAAATGGGCAGAAACAATTGGTGACGGACAGGGGGGACAAGGCTGAACTCCTCAACGAGTTCTTTGCCTCAGTGTTCCTAAGCAAGGGGCAAGACAAGTCTCTCACTGGGATTGTAGA